GGGGCGGTGGAGGTGGGGGGCCGCGCCCGGGCCACCGCCCTCCTCCTTCTTCATCCTCTCGTTTCTGTGCATCCATGGGGTGCAGTGCATCCCCTTACCTCTTGCCTTCCTGCCTCGGCCAGGTCCTTCTCCCCCTGTCCCTGGCCTGCCCTGCCCTTCTCGGGGCCCCTCGGAACCATCGCTCGTGGCCCTGGAGTGTTTGGGGCCTCCCGTCTTAACGGCGACGCCGGTGGTGTCGGCGGCGCCTTCCCCGATCCCGCGGGATAGGCCGCCCGAGAGGGAGGGGGGCTGAGGAGTGCCTTCAAGACTGAGGTTTTCAGAGAAGAATGAGGGGGACCCCCTCCCCCCAACTTAATAGGGAAGGCCCGGAGGAATCCGGGGTGGCGTTTCCCACCTCCCCATAATGAAACCGAGACCGAGACCATGGCGCCGGGGCCTCCTGCTGATAAAATAGGGATGGCGGCAGAAACTTCTTCGAGGGAAAATCAGTTTCTGGATGTCAGTCATCCATCCCCCACAGTCTCGGCTTTTCTTTTCCTCTGGGCCCTGGCGAAGGGCACACGCCGAGCCTCTCACCGCCCGGAGGAAAGGCCCTCGGCCATTCTGTGCATTCTCGAGGGCTTGTGTCTCTGATGGTGCTGAACTTTTTTTTGCATGAGTTATTAGAGGGCGGAGCACATGATGAAGTTCTCCGTGAAGTGATTTGAGGGAAGCGTTCCTCGTGCGGCGAGTGTAATTTTGCCGTTCGAGTTGGTCGTTTTGGAAGGAGGTCAGAATATTCGTTCTTCTTCACTTAGGAGATCTGCCCTTTATCTGATCATTTCTTAGAGGCAGAGAACGGCTCCGCTGTTAACGTACGGAGTGTTTGAGAGGTGCAAGGCCTGGTGAAGTAAGATTTTACGTTGTGTTAAGTCCTGCAGGTTGCATGCAAGTTGCTGTTTTACAATTAAAGCTGGTTTTATTTTGTTGCTCTGGAATAGTAGCTAGGTGTTTGGTGCATTATCCTGTGGGTAGGAAACATCACGCCAGAGTTGGCAAAGTAAAATTTGTAATTAAACTGGGATGAAGAGTGGGATACCTTTTCTTAATATTTAAAAACTTTTGTGATTAAAGATGTAATGGATTTCCCAATGGTTAAGCAGATCATTGTTATTGTGAAAATTATTGAGTATGTAAGTTAATACAAATTGTTGATTGTGTTTATATATAGAAAAACCTTTGTAGTGAATCAGATATTGCAGATTATTAATCTTTTATTCAGGTTTTTTAGAGATGGTTTAATATGCTACCTGTTTAATTTCAGTTTTTATGCCATCCTACCACCCCTTAAGGAACTCAGATTGTTTTAACCTCACATTATTTCTTCTAATGCAACATTCTTGTTAGATATAGACAAAACCTAGAGTGTGGTGAGATGCAGTGACTCACTTAATTGCTTTAATTCTGTTTTTCTGTCTGCTATCTACATGACTTATTTCTTGGTCACAAGCTTTTCTTTATTTTTTTTTTTGGGGGGGGGTCACAAGCTTTTCTATTTCTGAATCAAGTTGGAGACCTTCAGTAGACTATGGTACAGAAGGCAAAAGGGAAAATACCTTAGATTGTTCTTAATGTATTATGAATTTCTATTAAGTTTTGAGGATTTTAAAACTTTTTTATTTTTTACAAATAGTGATGAACTATTAGAAACATGATTGACTCCATTAGTCTTTTTCATGTATCTTAATAAAATTTGGGGTTCTGACCACATATTTTTAAACTGTAGTATTTATGGTAAAAGAATATTTGATATTTATTCATTGCTGGATGAATTAAACTGACCTTAAGACCTTATGCTCTGATTTCAAAAAGATTTTACTTATCTGGAAGCTCAGCATTCTGGTAAAACCAATACATTTAAAAAAAGTGAGTCTTACCTTTTCTGTAGCATTTAGAAATAGAATAGAAAGTTGAAAGAGTTTTAAGTCTTATTTCTCACTAAATAGAACATACCGCTCTGTATGATATGTGAGTATGAAGTAATGACTATGATTTAAAAAATTATTAAAGATATCACAAGCCCTAACCGGTTTGGCTCAATGGATAGAGTGTCTGCTTGCGAACTGAATGGTCCTAGGTTCTATTCCAGTCAAGGGCATGTACCTTGGTTGCGGGCACATCCCCATTAGAGTGTGTGCAGGAGGCAGCTGATGGATGTCTCTCTCTCATCGATGTTTCTAACTCTCTGTCCCTCTCCCTTCCTCTCTAAAAAATCTAAAAAAATATATATTTTAAAAATCATGAATATCTGAAGAATAGCTTTGCCTTTATTAAACCAACATCAATAACAATTTAAATTTGTTTTACATAACTAAAACATAAAGCATTTGTTATAAATATTTGTCTTCAGCAAAAATTTCTGACACATATATCTTTTCTGATTTTTCACATTAAAAATATAAAGCTTAAAGTACTGTCTTATAATGCTTCGTCAGTCTTTGCTTTTCTCTTCCTGCTTATTTAGATTGACCAGAAAAAAAGGTCAGCTCCCTCCCCACAATTCCCAATATAGCATGCATTGAGCTTTAAAATATAAGGATAAAAGACATTTTCTTCCATACTAAAAAATGTACTGCTATTTTTAAATATTGATTTACTGAGCCAAACTGGTTTCTGCTGATTTTTTTGTATTTGTTTTTTGTTTGTTTTTTTTTTTTTAGTAGAATTCTGAAACTTTTAGTTAACATTACATTTCCTTATTATCAAACTCTTTTTGTTGTTTAATACTCACCTGAGGATATTTTTTCCATTGATTTTTAGAGAGAGTAGAAGGGATGGGGAGAGACAGAGAGAGAAACATCGATAAGAGAGAAACAATGGATTGGTTGCCTCCTGCATGCGCAGCCGAGATATGGGCCTTGACCAGGAATGGAACCTGAGACCCTTCAGTCTAAGGATCTTTCAGTCTACTCTAACCACTGAGCAACTTGCAAGGGCAGTGACCAAACTCTTTGATAAGCAAGTAGCCAAGGGAAATGATGATCTTTTAATTAATCACATTGAAGTTACGTAAAAAAGAAGTCATGTTGCTTTATAGTCTACAACATTTTATAACTTGGTATTCCTCATACATGGCCTTGAATGACTGCTGACAATGCAATGTGCAGATCATGTATCATAGAAATGTACACTTGAAGCCTATATGATTTTATTAACCAATGTCACTCCAATAAACTTAATTAAAAGAAAATCGAAAGTCATATTTTTAAAAAAGTCATATCAGCCCTAACCGGTTTGGCTCAGTGGATAGAGCGTCAGCCTGCAGTGTCAAGGGTCCCAGGTTTGGTTCCGGTCACGGGCATGTACCTTGGTTGCGGGCACATCCCCATTAGAGTGTGTGCAGGAGGCAGCTGATCGATGTTTCTCTCTCATCAGTGTTTCTAACTCTCTATCCTTTTCCCTTCCTCTCTGTAAAAAATCAATAAAATATATTTAAAAAAGATATCACAACATGAAATACTTTTGAAAAAGGAAAAACAAGTCCACTCTCACAACAATATTTATTTTACATTTTATTTTCCAAATTTTGTTTACAGACTTTTATTATTTTTATTTTTACATTGTGGGACATAGTATACATAATTTAGAATTCTGATTTTTTTAAAAAATATATATTTTATCAATTTTTTACAGAGATCATATCAGTTCCCAAAATATGAGGAAAAAATGTGCTGCTGGGTCCGAAGGTAACGCCAAAGGTACTCTTTTAAAAAAATTTTTTGAACTGTGGCATTACCCATTAATACCAACTTGGGCTGGCATCCAGCCATACATATACAAAATACACAGGTGTAATCAAAATAATTTTCCCCTCCCTCTCACCTGAGGCTATGTATCTTTAATAATAAAAGCATAATATACTAATTAGACTGGACAGCCGAACGACCTTCCAGATGAAGCCAGGGCTGCAAGGGCCAAGCCCTTGCACGAATTTCTAGTGTGTGTGTGTGTGTGTGTGTGTGTGTGTATCTTATATATATGACTTTAGAGAGAGAGGAAGCGGGGGGGAGAGAGAGAGAGAGAGAAACATTGATGTGAGATTGGTTGCCTCCCATATGCACCCCGACCAAGGATCAAAGTGGCAATCTGGGTATGAGCCCTGACCAGGAATTCAACCCAAGACCTTTTGGTGTACTGGATGATACTCAACCAACTAAGCCACACTCTCCAGGGCAATCAGATTAATTCTTGAGATAAGGGATACACAGACACTATAGAATAGGTAAAAATTAATAGGTAATCAGAAGGTAGACAATATGTGAGGGAAGAGGAAATACTCAGAGAAGACGAATTTGTTACTATAGAATGCTAAAGCTTTGTGCATAGTAGACATTTATGCACTTAATGAAAGCATAGAACCTCAGTTGTAAAAGACACCTTAATTTAATGTTTCTCTAAAGTTGTTGAATGAATATTTGTTACAGAAATTAGGAGCTGGTGTGTGTGGTATTTGGCTTTGTGGCCAATTTCCATTTGTAGTCTTTTCTACAATACATTTCTATTGGGTATTAAAATGTGTTCTCTTTCAGGGAAGGTGGTTGCAAGTGTTCTAGATGTCAAAAGAAAACTCTTTGGGATTTTAAGAACTATTTCAAAAGGTGATAATGACGTTTGAACAGAAATTTTGTGAGGAACTTTTTTTTT